TTAGCTAATGAGTGTCCTCGTGCAGGATTTGGCTATGCCTAAGTCCACAATGTGACTAAACTGCATTGGATATGTTAAGTACAGACAGCTCTGATCACCTCTTTCTGTTTTTGGTTAGGTATCTACCTTGGATGGAGTTTTAGAAGTCCGAAATGAACATTTTTGGACCCTAGGTTTTGGCTCATTGGTATGTTCGTTTACATATGACTTTAGTTATAATTTAAAATAGTCTTCCAGTTTTAAAACTGAAAAAAAGTATTTCCTTAAAATTTTCTGGAGCCTTTGGATTCCTAGTTATGTTAAGCAGAGTCTAAAATGTACATGAATTCAATTACCTAATTAAGGGATTTTTTGTTGTTTAGAGACAGGGTCTCACTCTGTTGCCCAGGCTGGTCTCGAACTCCTTGCCTCAAGCAGTCCTCCCGCCTTAACCTCCCAAAGTGTTGGGATTACAGACGTGTAATCCCAACAATAGAAGAATGTTTTTATTTTTTTCCCTTCAAACATGTTAATGGTAATAATACAAGAGTGTCCAGATAAGATAAATTTGTAGTCAGTGTAATTCCCAAATAAAATGTTTTAAAAAATTAGAAGTGCAATTGCTTTCTTTTTTAACTGCAGTTCTCATTTTGGAGAGTTTGCTGAATATTTTGAAGAACTACAATAACACAACTTGCTTCAGCATAAAATTTCGTATTTTCTAATTCAGTTTGAACCTCAATACCAGAGAGACGTTTTTATGACACGGTTAGGAATGATGAGGAAAATACAGAAAACATAAAGCACTGTAATCTTATCTAAAGAAAACTGCTGTTGATATTTTGGTGTTTATACATTTATTTTCCTTAGAAAATGAGATCGTGGAGTGGGCGCGGCTCATGCCTATAATGCCAGCACTTTGGGAGGCCAAGGTGGGCAGATCACCTGAGGTCGGGAGTTCGAGACCAGCTTGGCCAACATGGTGAAACCCCGTCTCTACTAAAAATACAAAATTAGCTGGGCATGGTGGTGTGGCACGCGCCTGTAATTCCAGCTACTCAGGAGGCTGAGGCAGGAGAGGCGGAGGTTGCAGTGAGCCAAGATCACGCTATTGCACTCCAGCCTGGGTGACAGAGTGAGACTCTGTCTCCAAAAAAAACAGGAAATGAGATCATGCTATTTTATAATTAGCTCTTTTCATGTAATTTATCATGAACAGTTTTTTATGTCATTAAATACTCTTCTACAGTATCATTTAAAAAAATAGGATTTGATTTTTCTAATATAGCACAAATTTATAGATAAGCAGATCAAAGCTGGTCCAGCAGGTCAGTGATGTTACCCACTTTGCAGTGTTTAGTTTCAGGCTGTGCTTTTGTAGTGGGAAAATGGTTTCTTCACCTTCACTTTCCCCAGCTCTTTCCCTCTCTCATTATTTTGGATGTCTAAAATTTATTAGAAGAAAAACTTGAGACTGTAACATCCCCTCCCTCCTTACTGGGAAGGTGCCAAGTGACCAAAGTGTCAAGAGACCAAAGAATGACTTGGACAGGTTCAGCATGGCCAGTAGGTGAGTTTATTAGGACTTACCTACGGGGCACTCCTGGGAAGTAGCAGGACAGCTTTAGAAATCTACCCACCTCCCATTTCTAAGCTGCTTTTAAGCTAATTTGCTCGCTCTTTGCCTACTGTATGTATGTAATGAGACTGTTTTCCTCGGTAGGGTCTCAGATGCTCTCTAAAAGCTTTGGTTCTCAGGGTCGCTTGCTCCTCGACTGGGCACCATGGCTTTGGCTCACTGCCTGGCCTTCAGAGTTCAGGCAGCGGACATACACCCTCGAATTACCTGGTGGGGGACCCATCACACTATACTCCTCTAGTAAATTCTTTAGAAGGGGCCGTTGGGAACAATATTCTCTAAATTCTTGAATGTTGAAAGCAGCTTGTGGACATTATAATTAAAAATTAGTTTGACTGGATATAAACTCTTCAGTACACATTTGCTTCAAGTTTCTTAAAAATACATTATCCCTTTTACTTCTGGCATGAAGCATTTCTGAGACAATGCCTAATAATAGTCTAATTTTTTTCCTTTTATATGTGACTTGATCTTTTTGCCTGGATGCCCAAAAGATTTTTTTTTAAGTTCAGTACCTTTACCAGACTACGTCTTGGCGTTGGTCATTCTGCATCAGTTATTTCAGGTATGCAGTGCACTCTTTCCTCTTTTTTTTTTTTTTGAGGTGGAGTCTTGCTCTGTCGCCCAGGTGGGAGTGCCGTGGTGCAATCTCAGCTCACTGCAGCCTCTGCCTCCTGAGTTCAAGTGATTCTCCTGCCTCAGCCTCCCGAGTAGCTGGGATTACAGGTGCACACCACCACACCCAGCTAATTTTTGTTTTTTTTAGTAGAGATGGGGTTTTACCATGTTGGCCAAGCTGGTCTCGTACTCCTGATGTCAAGTGATCTGCCTGCCTTGGCCTCCCAAAGTGTTGGGATTACAGGCGTGAGCCACTGCGCTCAGCCCACAGTACACCCTTTCAATAATGCTGTTTCAAAAATAATTTTTTAAAACATCTAATTATAGTTCATAATTTTTGCTCTATTCTCTTTCTTTGGTTTTCTTTTGTGGAAACTTCTGTTATGTACATGTTGAATATGTTGGATCTTTGCCTTTCTTATTGTTATTTTCTCTCAAATTCTTACATTCTCTTAATTTACTTTTGTTTTTTTTTTTTAACCTTTTATATCTCCTAAAGTATACCTCTATGTTTCCTTGTTTGTATTTATTCTGGGTAAGTCTTCATTTCTAAAGTGATCTTTTTTCTTGTGTTATAATTGTCATCTCATTTCTAAGGTTTTCTAATTCTGATTTATGTTCTTGTTTTATATCTTTTGGCTGGTTTTTAAAAAGTAGGTTATAGTTTTTATCTGATGTAGTTTTATCTGTCTGGTGATCTTTTATAATCTGTTTTACAGTCTCTTTTTTTCTTTTATAACTTTTTGTGGGATTTGATCCTCTCTCCTTTTCTGTTACTCATTTTTATGTGAAGTTAGTTTTCCTGAACTTTAAAATTAGGAATGTTTTAGGGTAGTGTGTACAGATTCATGGGTCTAGAGCTCCATCTTCTGATGATTTTGTAAAAGAAGAAAGTTTATTATTCTGGCCCTGTTCCTCTCTGCCATTTTTACCTTTTTTTTTTTTTTTTTGAGACAGGGTCTCACTCTGTTGCCAGGCTGGAATGAGTGCAATGGCATGATCTTGGCTCACTGCAACCTCCGCCTCCCCAGTAGCTGGGACTACAGATGCATGCCACCATGCCCAGCTAATTTTTGAATTTTTTTGTAGAAACAGGGTTTCACTATGTTGGCCAGGCTGGTCTCAAACTTCTGACCTCAGATGATCCGCTTGTCTTCTGAGCCACTCTGCCCAGCATTTTTTTTTTTTTTTTTTTTAAGAGACAGAGTCCTGCCCTGTTACCCAGGCTGGAGGGAGTGGTACACATATAGGTCACTGCAGTCTCAAATGTCTGGGCTCAAGTGATCCTCCTAACTCAACCTTCCCAGTAGCTGGGATTACAGGTACACGCCACCATGCCCAGATGATCTTTTAAAAATTTTTTGTAGAAACTGAGTCTTGGTATGTTGCCTAGGCTGGTCTTGAACTCTTGGCCTTAAGCACTCCTACTGCCTTGGCCTCCCAAAGTGTTGGGATTACAGGCACGAGCCGCTATGCCTGGCCCTGCCTTCCATTTTTATCTGAACCTCTTCTATCCTTTGTCTCAACTGTACTACTCAGTTTGGATTTTCTTGCCATTGTTTCTTTTTTATATGGGGCTTTTTTCTAGAGGGCAGCTTTGCCTGGTTACTTTTGAGAACTCATAGGACTCAGACTATTCCAGCCCTTAATGCAGACCCAGTGTATTTCCCCACTGTTGAAATGTGCAAAACTCCTCCCAGTTTCAGCTGCTTTTCTCATACTGACTGTCCTAGATTTCCATTAAGTCTTCTTAGCCGCTTTGGGGTTTTTAGGTCAGTCAGATGTGCTGTTGCTTCCTGCTGCACAGATTGTGTTACCTTGAAGGTCTCATCACTTGTATTTGGGTTTTCATAGGAGTACTGGGTTACCTAGTTTTTTGTGGATATTGTCCATAGATTTTCAGTTTTGCTGTTTTACTTTCTTTGTTTTAATGGAAATATTTGAGGCAGTTCAAAAACTGCCACCACTGCTGCCACCTTGCAAGAGTCCAACGTAATTTTTAGTTTTCTTAGTTTTACATTATCTAAATATGCCATCATTTATTTCCTAAGTCCCTTAGTGAATATTTAGATTATCTTCTATTTTTCCTATATTAACAGGTCTGGGATAAACTTTTTTTTTTGAGACGTAGTCTCACACTGTTGCCTAGGCTGGAGTGCAATGGCATGATCTTGGCTCACTGCAACCTCTGCCTCCCAAGTTCAAGCAATTCTCCTACCTCAGCCTCCCAAGTAGATAAAAACTAGAAAGAAGCTATCTGTGAAACTGCTTTGTGATATGTAGATTCATCTCACAGAGTTAAAACCTTTTTATTGATTCAGCAGGTTGGAATCTCTCATTTTGTAGAATCTGCAAAGGGACAGCTGGGATTACAGATATCCGCCACCATGCCCCACGTCTGGCTAATTTTTTGTATTTTTAGTAGAGACAGGGTTTCACTGTGATGGCCAGGCTGGTCCCGAACTCCTGACCTCGTGATCTGCCCGCCTCGGCCTCCCAAAGTGCTGGGATTACAGGCATGAGCCACCGTGCCCAGCCTGGGATAAACATTTTTATGGGATAAGCTTTGTAAATATCCATGATTATTTCTTAAGATTAATTTTTAGAAGTTTTTATAAATCAGAAAATACTCACTTTTTTTTATGGCTTTTGATGCAGATTCCCAAATTGCCTTCTAGAATGCCTTTTAGAACTACACACTTTGAGTCTTATAGTTCATTTTCAACCATTCTTTCCTTTATTTTATTTTTTTAGATTAATTTTTTAAAATATGGAATGCTTCATGAGTTTGCATGTCATCTTTGCACAGAGGCCATGCTAATCTTATCTGTATTGTTCCAATTTGAGTATATGTGCTGCTAAAGTGACCACTTAACAATTCTTTTAATTGTATTAATGACGTTGGATGGCTTATAAACACAAAGAATGTAGTCATCAACTCAGAACTTGGCATCTAAAAACCACACCTATGAAGTCCCTGGTTAAGAGCCAGGAATTTAATAAAACAAACTTTTGAGCTACTAAATTAATGCCACAAAAGCCATAGATAAATGCATGCACTGTGATTATAGGAGACTTTTCAAGTTCATACTCTGAAAATAGTTTCCTTATTTTAATTACTTTGATTTCCATATCAGACTGAAAGAGGATATGGCATCTTTAATACTTATGTAGTGACAACTGTGATTAGTAGTGGCAAAGGAAAAGGGAAAAATCAAAGATGACTTGATTTTGAGACATGGCTTGTCTGAGCTAAAAGTAATAAACTAGAAGTCAAATTCAAGGAATATAGGTATTTTCTCTGTCTCATGATTGACAGTAACTCTCTTACTATTTTTCTGTATTTAGTATTTCAAGTCATAGATTCAGATGCATTGTAATTAAACAATTTGGCTAATTTATTTGCAGTTTATGTTTTGTAAGAATTTTTTTTGCTTTTTGAAAATCTGTGTTTATTTAGAAACCAAAATGGGGTGTCTGCTGGACATTTTATTTACTTTTATTTACTTTAATTTTTTGAGACCGAGTCTGGCTCTGTTGCCCAGCCTGGAGTGTAGTGGCATGATCTTGACTCACTGCAACCTCTGCCTCATGGGCTCAAGCCATCCTCACACCTCAGCCTCCCAAGCAGCTGTGACTATAGGCATACACTACCACACCCGGCTAATTTTTGTATTTTTTGTAGAGATGGGGTTTTGCCATGTTGTCCAGTCGGGTCTCAAACTCTTGAGCTCAAGCGATCCATCTGCCTCACCCTCCCAAAGTGCTGGGATTACAGGCATGAGCTACCATGCCTGGCCATCTATGAGATATATATATATATATATATATATATATACACACACACACACATATTTTTTTTTAAGTTTTTATTAGGCAAGTAGTACCCAATTGTTAAGAAAATAAAAACTTGTAACTAAGTCAAAAAAAAAGAGAGTAAATATCCTTAATAATCCTGCCATCTAGAGATAAATTCTGTTATCCTTGATATTTGTCTCTGTCCTTCTGTTTCTTTAACTTTTATTTTTCTTTATTTATGTCTTATTTTACTTTTTATTTATTGAGACAGGGTCTTGCTCTGTCACCCAGGCTAGAGTGCAGGGGCACAGTCATGGCTCACTGCAGCCTCAACCCTCTAGGCTCAAGCAGTCTTTCTGCCTCAGCCTTCCTCGTAACTGGGACTGCATATGTGTGCCTGGCTAATTTATTTTTTATAACGATAGAGTCTTGCTATATGGTCCAGGCTGGTCTCAAACTCTTCCTTAAGCAATCCAACCTAGGTGCCCATCAATCCTAGGCGTTATTGGGCATCTAGGTTGATGCCATGCCTTTGCTATTGTGAATAGTGCTGTGATGAACATCCAAGTACATGTGTCTTTTTGGTAGAAAGATTTATGTTCTTTTGGATACATACCCAGTTATGGGATTGCTGGGTCAAATAGTAGTTCTGTTTTAAGTTCTTTGAGAAAAGCCACTGCTTTTTAGAGTGGCCGAACTGATTTACATCCCCACCAACAGTGTATAAACATTCCCTTTTCTCTGCAGCTTCACCAGCATCTGTTGTTTTTTTGTCTTGTTTTGTTTTGTTTTTTTAATAATAACCATTCTGGCCGGGCGCAGTGGCTCATGCCTGTAATCCCAGCACTTTGGGAGGCTGAGGCGGGTGGATCACCTGAGGTCAGGAGTTCAAGACCAGCCTGGCCAACATAGTGAAATCCTCTCTGTACTAAAAATACAAAAATTAGCCAGGCATGGTGTCGTGGGCCTATAATCCCAGCTACTTGGGAGGCTGAGGCAGGAGAATTGCTTGAACCCAGGAGGTGGAGGTTGCTGTGAGCTGACACTGCGCCACTGCACTCCAGCCTGGGCAAGAGAGCAAGACTCTGTCTCAAAAAAACAAAAAATAATAGTAATAATAATAGCCATTCTGACTAGTGTGGGATGGTATCTCATTGTGGTTTTGATTTGCATTTCTCTGCTGATTAGTGATGATGAGTATTTTTTTCATGTTTCTTGGCCACTTGTATGACTTCTTTGGAGAAGTATCTGTTCGTGTTTTTTTCCCATTTTTTAATGAGGTTATTTGTTTTTTGCTTGTTCAGTTTTTAAGTTCTGTATAGATTCTGATATCAGACCTTTGTCTGATGCATAGTTTGCGAATATTTTCTCCCATTCTATAAGTGTTTCTTGGTTGTCTTGCAGGTTTCTTATAGTTTGAGGTCTATTTTTTTTTGAGACGAAGTCTAGCTCTATCACCCAGGCTGGAGTGCAGTGGCGCGATCTCAGCGCACTGCAACCTCTGCCTCCTGGGTTCAAGTGATTCTTCTGCTTCAGCCTCTCAAGTAGCTGAAACTACAGGTGTTTGCCATCATGCCCGGCTAATTTTTTTTTTTTTTTTCATTTTTGTAGAAACAGGGTTTCGCCACGTTGGTCAGGTTGGTCTTGAACTCTTGACCTCAGGTGATCTGCCTACCTCGGCCTCCCAAAGTGCTGGGATTACAGACATGAGCCATAGCAACCGGCCAAGGTCTTAAATTGTAATCTTTAATCCATCTTGAGTTAATCTTTTTATAATGGTAAAAAGTTAAGGTCCAGCTTCATTCTGCATATGGCTAGCCAGCTATCCGGGTACCATTTATTGAATAGGTAGTCCTTTCCCCACTGCCTATTTTTGTTGACTTTGTCAAAGATCAGATGGCTGTAGGTATGTGGTTTATTTCTGGGTTCTCTATTCTGTTCCATTGGTCTATGTGTTTTGTCTTTTTACCAGTACCATGCTGTTTTGGTTACTGTAGCCTTATAGTTTGAATTCAGGTAATGCAATGCTTCTGGCTTTGTTCTTTCTGCTTAGAATTGCTTTGACTATTTGGGCTCTTTTTTGGTTCCATATGTATTTTAAAATAGTTTTTTCTAGTTATATGAAAAATGACATTGGTAGTTTGATAATAATAGCATTGAATCCCAGATTGTTTTGGGCAGTATGGCCATTTTAATGATACTGATCTTCCAAACCATGAGCATGGAATGTTGTTCCATTTGTTTTTGTCATCTGTGATTTCTTTGAACAGTGTTTCATAGTTCTCCTTGTAGAGATCTTTCACCTCCTTGGTTAGATGTATTTCTAGGTATTTTATTTCTTTTGTGGATATTGTAAATGGGGTTGAATTCTTTTTTTTTTTTTTTTTTTTTTTTCTTGATACGAGGTCTCTCTTTGTCACCCAGGCTGGAGTGCAGTGGTGCAGCCACTGCATCCTCAACCTCTCAGGTTCAATCAATCCTCCCACCTCAGCCTCCTGAGTAGCTGAGTAGCTGGCACTACAGATGTGTGCCACCACACCCAGCTAATTTTTTAAAATTTTTGTAGAGATGGGGTTTCACCATGTTTCTCTGGCTGGGGGAGTGTGTGTGTGTGTGTGTGTGTGTGTGTGTGTGCAAATAGGATCATTTGCTGCACCTACTATTGTATTATCTACTTTAAACACATAATTTATGGACCAGGCATGGTGGCTCACGCCTGTAATCCCAGCACTTTGGGAGGCTGAGGCAGGAGGATCACTTGAACCTAGGAGTTCGAGACCAGCTTGGGCAACATGGTGAGACCTCATCTCTACAAAGAAAACAAAAAAACAAAACCAAACAAACCCATAATTTATGGTAAACACTTTTTCAAGTTAACGAATATACTTCTTACTCCCATTGTAATGCCTGGTGCTCTCTATCCCTTAGAAGCCTTGATATCATCTTTGATGAATCAATCTCCCTCATCCTTTACTTCCAGCTGGGTATCAAGTCCTTCCATTTCTGCTCCTGGAATATGATATATCTGTCTGTCCCTCTCTGATCCCACTATTTTTGTTCTGGCTCAGCTCTCCTCATTTGTTTTGTTTTGTTTTGTTTTGTTTTGTTTTGTGTTTTGTTTTTTTGAGACAGAGGCTTGTTCTGTCTCCCAGGCTGGAGTGCAGTGGCATGATCTGTGCTCCCTGCAATGTCTGCCTCCTGGGTTCAAGTGATTCTCCTGCCTCAGCCTCCTGAGTAGCTGGGATTACAGATGCATGCCACTGTGCCCAGCTAATTTTTGTATTTTTAGTAGAATCGGGGTCTCACCATGTTGGCCAGGCTGGTCTTGAACTCCTGACCTCAGGTGATCTGCCTGCCTTGGCCTCCCAAAGTGCTGGGATTACAAACATGAGCCACCGTGCTTGGCAGCTCTCGTCATTTCTAATCTAGATTGTTGCAGTTTTTTTCCTACCTGATTACTAGTCACCTATACCTACAATTTTTCTGAACTCTGATTATTTATTTCTGTTAGGTTGCTGATGTTAAATCAAAATTCCTTATCATTTTAGAGTCCTCTGGTAGCCTCTTTTTAACCTTATTACCTACCTATCATGTTTCTTCTTTCCTTCTTCCCTTCTTCTCTTCCCAGGCTGGGAGTGCAATGGCGTAATCTCGGATCACTGCAACCTCTGCCTCCCAGGTTCAAGCAATTCTCCTGCCTCAGCCCCCCTAGTAGCTGGGATTATAAGCATGTGCCACCATAGCCAGCTAATTTTTGTATTTTTAGTAGAGACGGGGGTTTCACCATGTTGGTCAGGCTGGTCTCGAACTCCTGAACTCGGGTGATCCACCCACCTCACCCTCCCAAAGTGCTGGGATTACAAGCCTGAGCCACTGCGCCCAGCCCCTTCCTCTGTTTCTCCCTCTCTTCTTTCCTTCGTCTCTTCCTTGTCTCCATCTCTTCTCTCTCCCTCCTCCTCCTTCTGCCCCCTGAAATACTTGGACTTCTTTTTTTTCTTTTTCAAGATAGGATATCATTCTGTCACTCAGGCTGGAGTGGAGTGGTGCGATCTTGGCTCACTGCAACCTCAGCC